ATCAACTTACCCGTTTATTGAGTTAAATATCTTGGCGTACTCTTCTTCTGTGCGATTGATTCTGTTAAAAAAAAAAAAAAAAACCAAAAAAAAAAACAAGCCAAAATGTAAGAAGTAAAATCCTTGCCTATGAAGGAAATCAATTGATTATTAATCACATTTAAGGGAACACTACTCTTTATGGGACCAAGTTCATTTGTCAGTTTTAAAATTATAGATTTAAAAAAGTATATACAACTAGAACAAATAACATAGTAACAATAAGAACTTCACACCAAGCTCACCAGCACACCCAAAGACTACACAGCACCACAACACACTTAAACCCAAACACGGCTATTACCGCAGCACAACAGACAACAAACAGATACAACGACGCACACTCTTGAAACAATGACTCTTTCACAACCCTCAAATATTAAAGGGTGCCTAAGAGAGTCAAAACCACTACTTCAAAAACATGCCCAGGGCCAAATCTTGCGCCAGCCAACATTTCCGTATGCCATCGCCGAGTTTCTCTTGCAAAAAACAAACTCAAGAGAAATTGAAACCAATAGCTGTTGTGTGGTTATTTCAATTTACATAAGGTTTATTGTTACATCCCCAGTAATTCTGTAAAAAATTCCACAAATACCCATGCAATAGACATATTTCGATTTTATGTAAATTTTTTTCATAATTTGCACACATCTCAAAATAGTCATTTTAAAGGCAAATAACTACACAAAACCAAGTGATAAATACCAACAGTAACTATTTACCAAGCCTTCTTTTTGCTTATCCGGTATATCCCTTAAATTTATTAAAGCTCGCCTAGAATCTATTCAATAGGCTGTATACGGTACTATGTTATATATCCTGATTCAGGTCATAATAACTATTTACAGAGTATTCCCCTAACGGCTAGTCTTCAGTGCAGATTTGGGCGTTTTGACACCCCCCGTCGCAAACCAATCAGATTAATTTTCGCTGTCCCAAAGAAGAGACCATTCGAGAACATGCAAAATGCGAGAAAGGTATGCCCTGTGAATTAGCATGGAAATCTTTAAAGACTCCGCATGATAAATGAAGATGCGTATTTGCTATATTTTGGCACCCCAAGATTGCTATCATAAGTGTAATCCCTGTGTAAGGTACCATAAGTTATTGGTAGATTGTCTGGAGCAACCTCCATCGAAATTAAGAACTATGTTCTCTGTGAATCTAAGGAATTGCTCTAACCAGCTGGCTTATAATAATTCAAGACAATCACATTGTATAGATGCAAAAGACTGTTGAATGTAATATGAGGAAGGAAATGTCTGGAACAGCGACGCCGGGTTCATGAGAATTCCTCAAATAAACCATTTTCCTTATGTGTTGTGCCGTCCCCTCCTAAACCCCATATATCAACCACTTCTGCCACACTCCATTTTTTATTTATGATTTTTTCCGCTTGCTTCTCTCCCAGATGGTCATGATTAATTTACTGTAGACTTAATTTCTATTAATGGTACATAGCTTAAGACAAGTGTTTTAAATACATCTCAAGGAATTTCCGCCTGTTAGAGAACTTCCCAAGGATTGGGTGCCGTGCTTCTGCTACGTTAATGTCCCTTTGCATAATGAGATTTGCTTAACGAAAATTTCCCCATCCAAAATTGTCAATTAAGTTGTAAATTTCAAAGCCATCTAATAAACAAAGGTACCAATTTATAGACAACAGGAGGTACACCAAATTTACCAAGTGGATCTGGCATGAGTACACATGCATGCTTAATAAATAAAACTCGCAATTTCAAAACTAGAACTGATTCCTGCAATGTTTAAACAGATGCTTTATTATTGGACTGGCGGTGTTTCTTTGTGTAAACCATAGGTTTTACCCTAGCTGAGTAGCAAGTTACCACGATTTAAGGATACCCAAAGAATTTTCCCAATACGAGAAATATACATTCCAACTCATACCAATATGCGGCATCACAACCCTCACAACTTCGAGAGACCCACGCATGTTATTCCAAAAATTGACCTTAGGAGATAAATGGCTTTTTGGTCCCTATCCCGATTAAATGAACACCCGACCTAAGCTCCGGATGAGAACATACTTTCAATGGTCTGCTTTTTGAGCTCCATGAAAATACTTTAATGTTAGAGGAGAATTTCTAAATAAAGCTGCCATTGAAGGGTTTGGATTTTCGCAAAAAATTTTAAGAACAAGTTATCCCTACTCCTAAATGACAAATAATTAAACTTAGGTGGTTTACCCTGCGCACGAATAAATCAGGAAGACAGTTTCCATGATTCCATTGTCAATCCTTTAATTGATGATTGTGGACGGATGAAGGAATCCTGACAATGCCTTGTGTCTGGGATAGGTCAGCATGTTTGTTCACAAACCTGGATTAACCTTCCTCAGGGACCTGCGCATTCCACATATTGGCATTTTTTTGGACCGGCCTTTATTTAATGAGGTCCTGGCGTCCACATATGTGGACATCACATTTTGGGTTATTTAGACCAAAATACTCAATTTTGCTCTACAAGGGCCTGATATCCACTTACGAGGACATTATACTGCTACTGTTCTATCAAAATTTTAAACGAATATCCTCATATGTGGCTCTCATTTTTCTTAAAAACAAAAATAAGGTAAAAAATTTTTTAAAAAATCTGGTAATTCTTTGTTTTTACATTCATCAGGTCCCAATCAGCACAAATATCAAAGAAATTCAAAATGCATGCTGTGGAAGAGTTTGGGTCTTAGGATCATTAGTGGGCGTGAGCTGCAGTTACTGGTTTGGTTATACTAACACTCTGACACATAACTAAGCATCAATAAAACGAATGACATTACATGAATGGCTCATACGTACGTTGCTGTGAGCTATGTAGACGGGCTCTGGGATGTACCCCCTCGCCTCACTGTGCAGGTTGTAGAGACTGGCCTGTTGCTGCTGCTGCTCCTCCAGCTTCAGAGACTCGATCTCAGACTTGAGCTCCTTCAGCTGGTCCTGAAGATGTTTGCTCTTCTCCATGTACTCCAGCCTGTATTTATGCATGCCACAGTATCATCAACAAACAGCCAAACTGTCACTCTAAAGTGCCGTTGCAGGGGATTTAAACCCCGGCTTACCTCTCTCTCTCAATTCTCTTCTCCATAACCTGGTGGTAAGACATCAAAAATTCTCCATCCACGATGGGCTCCTGTCTGTGCCAAATAATAGAGCCGTATTCGAGGTGTCTCGTTGTGAAAAAAGTTCCATAAATTACCGAGAACTAGGCTCGAGGGCGGTTATTGACCGATTTGGCTCGTGAGTGTGTATACCCTCGCACCAGGGGGCGGAAAGCCTCGGTCTTGTCGGTTGCGAGGGGAGCCCGAGGCAGGAACATCCAGCAGGCCTGACCATTAGTCAGAGGGTTGTTGAGCAGAATAAGTTGCTATTGATGCCCGCCCGACCCCAGATCAGCACACAGATTGTCTAATCTTGTGAGAGTATAATAAGGAATAGCTAAAATATACCTTCACAATAATGTACAAAAGGTACATAGTAGTCCATACTTCATTAAAATCTTACTAGCAAGTGTGTTTGTGCATCGAACCTAAGAATCATGTATGTGGGAATACTGTTTTGTCGCGAGTGGAACCAACCCCAGAGAAAATTATCACCCATAAAACCTTAATTCAGGCACCACATGCATTGAGAGAGCTTTAAATTACGCAAAAGTCCAAAAGTACTAGAACATTCATGCCGTTTTGTGTGTAATACGCTATCTGGCATTTTCTATTTTGAAAAATTCCTCTTCATTAATCTTTGGCTTTAAGGAGTTGTTTGGAAATTGCAAGACATTGGGCCGTGCCCATATCATCTTTTCAGACCCACATAAATAATGCATATGCTAGTCTCACACACACACACACACACACACACACACACACACACACACACACACACACACACACAAAAAGCAAACCTGAAAAATAAAGAAACGTTAGAGAAGAATCTCCAATCCCAATTCACTCCATAAACATTTCAAGAATTACATATTTTGTTTTCTAGAATTTTGCCTGTACATACCATGATGATAGATTTTAAATTAAATACTCAAGATAAAAACACAACACAGACTTTTTGGCTTAAATGCCTAGGAATTATAGCTATATTTATATATCCTGATCAGGCATAACATTAAGACCAACTGTGTAATTGTGTTGCCCCCCCCTTTTGCTGTCAAAAGAGCCTAGACTCAACGAAGCATGGACTCAACTCCTGAAGGTGTGCTATATCTGGCACCAAGATATTAGTAACAAGTCCTGTTAAGTCCTGTAAGTTGGAGGCTGGGGCTCCCTGGATTGGATTTGTTTGTCTAGTTTGTCCCACAGCTGCTTTATTGAATTTAGATGTGGGGAATTTGAAGACCCGGTCAGTATCTCAAAGTCATTGTTGTGCTCCTCAAACCATTCCTGAACCATTTTTGTTTCGTGACAGTGCGAATTATCTTGGTGAAAAAGTTAATAGCTAACAGGGAATACAGTTTCCATCAAAGGGTCTACATGGTCTGTAACAATCCAAATTTATTTATAAAGCACTTTAAAATACTTAGCACAGGACCAAAGGGCTGTACAGTAAATAACTTAAACAATGCAATGTTAACAATGCTTAGGTAGTTGGTATGTTCCCAAGTAGCATCCACATGGACCCAAGATTTCCCAGCAGAATATCACCCAAAGCATCACACTGCCTCGGCCAGCTTGTTTAATATGCTTTTGGGCCTTTCGTTGACACGCAAGCGGTATTTTGGATCACTGAAAACTGAGATTCTTAAAAACTCCTGCCAGGGTGGAGTTTTCAAAAAGTCCCTTTTTGCATTTATCTGTGGACGAGGAAAACGGAGATTTAGTCACGCAACGTCAAATGTGTGCGCCTTTTTTGACGACATGCTGTGCGCCACATTATTATTTATGTGAGATGCATTTCTACAATGGCAGATAAAGACAAAAATACTGTTGCTGTTACTATCTGTAGTTTTTACAGGCTTACATATACACACGCAATTTTTTGAAACTGCACGTGTGGACGGGTTTTTATTTAATTTTTTTAACGAAAATGGAAAATCTCTCTTTTTCAAAAATACCCATGTACGGGCGGACGCAGCCTTAAATAACAGAAAACAAAACCATCTTTATGGTGTAATTATTTTACATGTAGTTATTTTTCTTTTTTTAACTGTGTAAGAATATTCAACGTGCCTGTCTGTGCAAAATGAGTTTAAAAACAAACAACTGTGGGATACTGTTTGTCCGTGATTTATACACGGGGAACAATTTGTGGCAGGATCAGCCTGACATTATCTGTATCCCACTGTAACTTTACTGTATAAAGAGCTAACATCTCCAATATTTCAGGAGTAGTTAATCATTACAACAAGTGTTTGTGAACTAAGAATCATGAATGTGGGATACTGTTTGTCCGTGAAACACGGATACCTACCTTGGCACCACCATTGTGCAGCTGAAGCCAAAGGCAAGATATGCTTCATCATATTTTCTAGTCTTTGGCTTGAAAGGAAGTTGGTTTGGAAGCATATTTGGCGGTGCTTCATCTTCTGCTTTGTGTTTGTGTGGGAACCCTGTCAAAAACCTGTGCATTACACTAGCAGTGTCCAAGCATTCTTTTTTCATTTGTTTTTTAATCCATACCATGCCCCCCACTTCGGGAATCACTGCCCTAGCAGATGACGTCAGGATGGAGCATACTGATTATATTGTTTTATTATAACAATGTGCCTAAAACCTTAAATGCTACAAAGAGAAATAAATGAAAGCGTAACGACAGACAGACAGACATATATATATATAGCCTGCTAGCACGCGTGCCACTAATACCATAGACACAATAATTAATATTTTGTATTACTTCTACCACCCCATTTAAAGGAATCTTGTCTTTTGGCATAATGTCGTTCGCATTCCAAAGGTACCACCATTTCAATTTTGATTAACAGCTAAATCATGAACATTCATGATGTGTTATAATCCAAACAAGGTGGAATATTGTTATCAGTAAAAAGAAAAGTATGCTGAGGTACTAAACATATGATGTGCACTAAGTGGCATGTGGCTCAAACAGTACTGAGATTATTGCAATGAATTGAGTCAGAGCCAATTTCTTAATCACCCGAAACATTTGTTTTGTACAGACAATTAGTCAGAAAAAAAACACTTATTAAAAAACATATACAATTAAATGACTACTGTGTAAAACAATAAGTTGTCTGGTCGAGTAATGAATTTTCGTTTTGTATGCAAATCATATGTGAATTGTATGAGTGCTTCAAGGGGTGCTGAAAGAGACAGAGTAAATGCATATAAGAAATACACAGCAAACACAGAGAGGTCATGAAGGGACCTGATGACCACAGGTTGGTCTTGGTGCAAACAAGTATTATTAAGGATAATTTCCTTAAACTCATCTAACTTTCTTACCGAATAGGTACAACCCTGGCCCCAGCAGCCTCTAGGTATTTGACATAGGAGGCAGCTATGTAAGAAGACCCACGAGCAAACTGGTCCCATGGAAGGTTTTCCTGTGCCAACACACCTAGCAAGAACATAAGACACATGATATAGCAGATATTACGAGAAAGAACTCAAACAGTTAAAGTGAAAATGTTGTTTAACCATGGTTAAAGTTAAAAAGTTCACTGAAAAGGACAGATTTAGACAGGACTGTCATACTAAAAATGCCTAAAAAATTAAAATAAAACAACCCACCAAGGAGTCACTTTTCCTAATTTCTTTTCTGTGTACATAGTTGAAAGTGAACAAAGTAACAAATTTTGCATAGTATGATGTTTCATTCTGGGCTATCCTTTTTAAAAGAACACACTTTGAGTATTGTAAAATTTGATTAATATGGCCTTTATCAAAAACAACCAATTCAGTTACTAATGAAGTGAGATAATCTAATGAGTAAGCAGAACAATACTATTAAACTATAAATTAAAAGAAGAAAAGAGAGAAGCTAAGGGGTGGAAGTGAAAGCAGTGGGAGCAGCAGTCAACAGTTCGTTGAGACCTCAAATTCATTTTTTTTTTTGACACAGATATTCAAATGCCCCTGTGAACGCCAGCTGTTGGTTATCTTCTTTATCTGAACATCGCTCAAATTTATCTGTGAATCGTGATATGATTTTATTCTTTCAAATGTAGCCAAAGCTGAAGTTATTGTTAGACTTAAAATCTTGTGTCTATCCAGCTACTTCCTCTAATTGAAATCTCAGTTGAATTGGATTTAGCAATGAAACAGGTTGGGTGCATTACAGCAAAATTAGGTTCTCTGGCAAAGTGCAACATTAAAACTTGTTGATCCAATACATAGCATAGCCTCAATTAAAGGACAGGTCAAAAATACGTCCCAAGTGGGGTTAAAAGCAATAGGTTAAATATAATCTATTTTCTTATCGTTATTGATAGCATTAACACCATTAAACTTAAGAATGAACAACATATAATGAAAATGTGACTTGCACTGATTTTTTTCCCCAAATATTGGACCATGGCAATAAACACAAAGCAGACATCTTGAGAAGACAACCAAAAGTCTATGATCAAAAACATAATACCTCAATATAACAGCGCGTAAACCAATCCACAGGGAAGACATCCCCTTCCTCACTCACCCCCCAATCCGTGTAACACACCTTTTCTCGAACGTTCCAGACGAGAATTACATAAGAGCCTTCAACTATCCACGTGTATAAACGACTTCTACGGGGACCAGTACTTACTAAATACAACCGTTCATGTGACCAAATCTTACCGATAATTGGTCGGTAATTGAGCTGCTGGCGGGTTCTTCCTACAGCACACAGAGCGGGTGAGCACCAGAGGCAGGCGGTCAGCACCGCGAAGATTGCTGCAGCTGTTCGAGGCATTCAAAACACCGCGCACAATTCCTAAAACAAAACCGCTGGAGGGGGCAATCAATGTCAGCTGGATTGCAGGCTGGAAATGAAAGATTACAAAAGTTTGTTGCTGTTTTGCCTGTTAAAATAACAAACAGCTGACAAAAAGGTTAAAGCGTTCATTAAAATGAGCAAAATTACAATGAAGCAATCCCAGAAATGATGCCGTCCTCCGGGTGCTGATGCTGTGCTCCAGGAGGTCGTCCGGCTTCTCTCGCCGTCCTCCTACTTTCCTCGGTCTGTATTCTGAGGTGTTCCGACTATCAAATCGGTCACGTGTGGCACTCGCCTGCAAAAAGCAACGTCATCCTGAGTAGCCTCCTCCTTTCTGGTGCGTCCCCATTAAAAAGACAGAGATAGCGCGATCAGACGGCATCGTCAGACTCCTCCTCTACACAGGTACAGCTAAATGCTGGGCGTTTGGGTTTTAACAAAGAGAAACACTGAGCATGTATGAGTCAGCTAAGACAAAATAGATTGCAGAATAACAGAGATGATTATAATTAAATGCAAAGTCGCCCGAAAGCATGTGGAAGTGTGACCCACAATGCAATTCCAGAAAAAAGGCAGAGGAAAACGTTTGGGAGAAATAATAAGAGTTATAATAATAATAATAATAATAATTATAAGAATGATAATAATAATAATAATATCCCCAAAGTTTGATTCTGTTCATCTGGATGCAGCGTTTTCAGTGGGAGAAACGTTTCGTCACTCATCCAAACGACTTCTTCAGTCTCAGCTGACTGTAGGTTTCCCCAATCTTATAAACAGTACATTTGCATAATGACTGAAACCAGCCCACTGAAGGAACAATGGCCTGGGAGATCAGTTCCTTGATCATTAATATGCAAATTCGCATGACCATTGATTAACAACCACTGATCAAAGTTCATTGATCAAAGCCCACTGATCAATGGCCATATTCACAGAGAGTTGGTGAATGGCTGCAATCACAGCATTGTAAGATGGCGAAAGATGTACCCTTAGGCCCCCTCCTCGATTCAAAGATGGTCTTTCCCTTTTGACTTAAATGGCCTCCTCTACTCCTCGCTCAAACTAGCGTTCCTCCCTGTCCAGAATGTGTACATCCTCATCCTTGAAAGAGTGTCCACTGGCCTGTAGGTTTAAATATACTGTGGAGTCCTGGCCTGACGAGGTGAAAAAATAATAATAATTAAATAATAATAAATAATAATAATTATAAAAGGAAAATGATAAAACAGATAAATCCACTCACAACAATTCTTGTTTTTATCCTTAGAGCCTCAGTGTGTCAAACCCTTCCAGTGGCTACACCTGCTTGACTTCCACCACTACCAACAGAGATGGCACGGAGCCACACCGGTAGATCCTTCTACTGACTGATAATTGACCACAGGGAGTTTTACATCAACAAGCTGATTTATCAGAAACCTCCCTGATCTACCTTTGCCTTTTGTACCATAGCCCAGCACACCCAACAGCGATGTGGAGACCCTTCAGCTGTCCCTCATATGGTTGAAGTGGAGGGCTCCAATTGACTCCATGCAAAAAAAAAGGATGATGAGTCTCTTCAAAAATGTTATATTCAACTGAGTTCAGTGTTCACTACAGACATTATGACTGACCGCCCTGTAGACCTGAGCAATGAGATTACTACCTCAGAAACCCACGTGAGAAACAGTTTTTTCATAATCTCTGAGGGGAGATGGCCTCAGAGATTAGTTGTATTTCTTGGAAAGAGGCCAACTAGAGGAGGTCAGGCATGATGTTGTTCATGTTAAGATCAACCTCAAAGTCTAGCAGAAGGAAAAGGAGAAAATGAAAATGAAAAAAAAAACCTCCAAATGGCAGCCCTAACCAAGCGTCAAGCTCCTGGCTGGAGAAGAAAACAGAATGATTTGACCCAAACATCTGAGCTAAGGACTGCTCCAACACAGACAACACTGTTGATTACAAGGATGGCAAAACTGGGGGGAGGCACAGGACAAACTCGAACCTACTCTGCCTCAGGTGACTCCTTAAGTTGATAGCACCACACCCACAGCACACACAGATGATAGCATATAACCTATGTTCACACTTCTAAGCTATTCCCTACCTTAAAGACAAATTCGGTCTCTCTAACTCCTCCACAGCTCCGTTTTCACTCTGTCCGGCCATCAGGACACACAGTATGAGAAAGTTTTACTTTATCACTTGCATGTAATAATGAATTAGAGGAAATCTAAATGTAAATATGCATTTCGCCTTTAGCCTGCTGTCAGACATTTTTAATAAGCTATGATTTATTGTGCTGGGGTATCAGATTATTTTGACCTCTAAGGACCTCAATGTAGTTAAACCTGGAGGGTTTGAGCCTTTCTCTCTCCCCCTCTCTCTTTCTCTCTCTTACACACACACACACACACACACACACACACACACACACATTTTTGTCCACAGTCAACTATTATTGTCTTACCAATGTAGACTCACAGCTGATAAGATAAGTGACTTATTTAGGAGGCAAAAAAAAGATCCATCACACACTCTATGGTAGTTAGATTTCACTAAAACTAAACTAAATAATTCATAAAGGATATATTCATAGTTTTAATATATGTTAGTTTGGTAAAAAAAAAAATCCAACTTACATGATGAGGGTTTGATGCACATGTTTACTGAGAGTTTAGATGTCTACAAGACTATGAGACAGCCACTTTCCAAAGGTTCAGTATTTTAATTGTAATACCTATACTGAGTTTCTTTAAATTTTGCCTGTGTGTGCCCTCCATAGCATAATCGTTAAAAAAAACACAAACACAAAGCATTTACAGACTAACTGAAAACAGCAAAGTTAAAACAGAAATAGCTAGACAAACTAATTACAAAATGCACACACACCCATTGAGAGCAATTGTACCCTTATTCTTTATACCTCTATGGGAGAAGATGGGGACTTTGAGAAACAGTACTACAAACTCTTTGCTTTACTATAACAAGTTTGTTTGAGTGAGAACATAAATGTGCAGCTAACACACACACACACTTGAACATTTTTGATGTATCAAAATCTGGTCGTTGTGTGTGAGGAATGACGTGTGTTTAGGTACGACTTTATTGCGACAGAGCAGCAAGGTGTGATAGAATGATTTACCTGTGTGCGTTATGGATGAACTAAGTGATTAATGTCCTGATATGTCTTATATATGCATACCTAAGTCTGGCAAAAAGCAAACACCACTATGTATGAAAGACAAGATGCAGAATGAGGATCTCATCTGAGCTTGATTGACGGTTAGCTCGGTTGGTTCCAGTGAGTCACACCTGATTCTGAGTGATAGCCTGAATTGTACTCTACTCCTGACTGGGTCCCTACTTATAATCCAGTCAGGAGTAGAGTACTCCAATACTATTTATTGATGTTTTGTCTCTACTTTGTTTCTCATAACCATTGTTACATTCTTACGATGCCTATTCCACGTAAAAACAGCAACATGCTTTCTGTATGACACACAGCAATGACCTAGAATAAACCTGTCTAGATTTTTACGTCTGTTGTTTGTGCCATATGTGTAAATGCACTTGTGTGATCAATGAATGATCAAAAAAGGAGGAGAGTAATGGAAAATGATAAGATTATGCTCTTCTCAGTGTGACCTAACTGAAAAGAAACTTCCATAGTATCATGTTTTGTCTCCATATGATCTTTTAATACAAGATATGCTCAACTGTACAAGTTATCTTTTGCACAGAATGTTCTGACTCTGCTCTGTGACCACGCCAAGTAGATAACTTGTGTCAATAAATTATTCTGTGCATGTTATTATTCTTTGTCTAAACCCACGCAGACTGCTGCTGCGCTCTAAATTGTTGTTTGATCCCTTTGCAAAGGCAAATTAAAACCCTGGAAAGAAAACCTGCTTAGGTGTAAATCAATTGATTTCAGATTTCCATAATGAGAGATGATAGACTTTCTGATTTAAAGTACCTTCAGAACCTGCAATCCATGTAGATAGGCCTTGCCAAAATAAAGAATATTTTTATTCTTTTCGTTTCGGGACTATTCCACCTTATCACAGTATGGCAGCTGTGATTTACACAAACCAGCCTAATCCTGCTTTGTACATTTTGCCCACACTGCATCTCTGCTGTAGTTGTGTTAATGTCAAAAGTTCTGCTGACCTGCACATTATCAACTTCACTGTTGTTATATGCCTTATTTTCTGTATTATGTCAGCAGGTTATTTCATTGTACACATTGGCTTATTAGACCAATTGCTGTTCTTATTGGTTTTACATTCCAACCTATTCAATTTTCCTCTTAAACATAGATAACATCATCTATGTATGTTAGAGAAAGCAGGGGGTGTGTTGGCATTTAAGCACTGCTCAGCAAAGGTGCCCACTTTAAAACTGCCCTTTCTGTAAAGTCTGTCATTAGGGAAGTGAAGGCATATCCTCTGCTGGGCTATTGTTATCTAAGAGTTAGAGAAACAGAGAGAGATTGAGTTGTAGGTGAGAATGTGTAGGAAATGTGTTGAGAGTCAACACTGCGGCAAGGAGAAGTTGTTTTAGAGAGTGCGCATGTGCATTCTGTTAATTTGATTAAGTCAGCACTTTGTGTAGCAGGTAATACATGGATCAGTGACTTCACTTACATTACACAGTATTGCAGATGGACAAATTGCACTGCATCACTACTGACTAACCACAAGAGGCCGCACTCTTCCACCAAACAACCCTCAGCTTAATCCACAGTGTCCTTTTCACTTTGAGCGTTGTGTTTCAGGCACACTCAAAAATCACCTCATTCTTCAGACACATTGATTGTACAAGAATTTATCCCAGTCAGTAAGTAGTGGCCTTTTCAGGCCGTAACAAGTGTAGTCTGAGCTACACGCTGCTGGACTGTGAAACTGTGGAAACTCTCCTTGCTGAAAGAAAGCAAGCCTTGCTGTCAGAATAGGTGAAAAAAGATGAAGAAAGAGATAACGAAGGTTTAGCAAGAGTGACGGGTCAAAATATGACATTTGTTTAACATAACTTCTGCTAGAGTGGTAATTTAAAACTAGTTTAATACATAGGCCTACATGTAAGTGATCCATAGGAAAACCAAACCAAAGTTCTGAGACTGCATCTATATGGTCAGTCTTTCTTACTTACTTACTTACTTACTTACATGAACTTGTGAATAAAACTCTATTAATTGACTTTTGACCCATAATAGACTGGTGATTGTTAGCCTGTCTGTAGTCAAATGTTGTAACCAATGTAAAGCTTTCATGGTTTGTAAATTCTTGCCAATTTGAGTTTGATCTGTTTATCCTTCATCTGCCAGATTTTGTGGACTGATAATCCTGTTCATCCTTGCCTTACAGAAGCAGAGAAGTAACATCATTTTCAATGGAGCCTATCCCAGG